TTTTTTATGTTTTAATTTGTATGTCTTATTTATTTATTTTTATTTTTTTAATTACAGTTTTATTTGCAATTAATTCCTTTAACATCCTTGAATCTCTGTGTTAGAGTGACAGTTGACACTCCTTGGCCGGATAAAAATCCGGGTCCGTTCCGACTATCGTGCGAACAGCTGGTTCAGAGCATCGCAGACTTCGGTAGGTCTTCAACTGTCGAAGCTGCAACAACTTGCATGCATATGCATTTTGGGTGGTGGCTCTTGGTGTGCTTAACCTCAAACCACTTCATCTAGTAATCGGTCATTTAGTTAAATGCACTACTTAAAATGACAGTCGAAAGGTTTGGCAGAGGTGAGGCAATTCCTATTCCAGCGTATGAAGGAATTAAGTGGTGAAATACCATTGGCTCTTCTCTCAAGGGACAGCATTGGCAAAAGAGCAAACTTAAGTAAGAAGTTTAAGGTTCTTAGCAGTAAAGCTGCGGACATGAGGCATCTTACTTCAGTTCGATTGCGTGTTCTATAAGCGATTCTAATACCGAGATTTGACATCTGGCAAAATGTCATAAGTGAACAGAAGCAAAAGAGCTGTAGAAAACCTTTGACCACTTTTCTGTTACGAAAAAATTTTGGTTGTGCGAGTTATAGCTAATTATTACTAGCTATCGCGGAATAAGGTCATGAAATGTTTAAATTTTCAAAAGCCCATAAAGAAGCAAGTACCGTTCGTCGAAGATATTCCCTTTTCCGAACCTAAACGGGACGAACGCGGGATTTTAAACCGGCCAACAGCCACCACTTGGCGCTAAATACTTTCTCCTCTCCAAATATACAAACTCCTAAATCGTCCATTAAATGTCATCGAAGACTCCAAATGTCTTGCCGATTATCAGGCTTGGATAGACACTACCACAAAAATTGCCAGAACAGAATAAAAAGCATCACAAATTTATTACTCACCTTGCACTAAATTCTTAAATAATGCATGTATGTATAAAATGAGCAGCACACGCAGAATAAGTCGCTTTTTTATTTTAAGTTTTATTTATTTGTCTTTATATTTTTTGTTTTACTTTCGTTTAAAGTAATACTTGGGAAATCGTGAACATTTTAACCGTTTGCCATACTACTTGGAACTTACAATTTGATGCTAATCAAAACAACATATGCATTATATATGTATATTTTAATTATATACTAAAATAATATGGAAAAAAACATTTGACTACTACATTATGCTTTAATTATTGTTATAATTGTATAATTTCATGATTTAATGTATTATTAATAAGTATTGCTTACAGTTACTGCTGCTGCGCCCGCTGTCTGTGCGGGTGAGTGTGTAAATGCATATGTGGACTGTGTGGAAATGTGTGCCTAATGCTTTCCTAGGAATATTTGTTTACTCACAATGATTACGCTTTAAATTTCTTTTTTATTATTTAGCAGTGTGTTTAGGTGGAAATGGCAAAGTTAAGCAGCAGTAATGGCACAATTTCTTATGACGAGTTAGTTATTGTTCGTACTACATGGATAACGGAACATACTTGTAGGTGGTCGTGAAATTAATGACGTTTACAATACCGCTTAACAGTTTTATATATTTGCATTTTTTAAATTTAATTTTATTTACTTGTCATTATTTTTATTAATTTTTTATTATTTTTATTTTACTTATTTTTTTTTTTTAGTTTTAGTTTCTTTATTTTTACTAACAACCTTTCACCTTTCATGCACAAATTATGTACATATATAACTAATAAATGAATTACTGATTTTATTACTTATCTTACTTGAATTGCGAGTCTTTCTTCTATAAAATTCACCATGTTGTGTATCATACAAAATTTCGCCTTTTACACAGATTATGTATATAACTCACTATTTGGTTGCAAATTTTAATTGTTCTAATATAGTTAGTAAATGTTCAAGAAAATGTCTCTTTACATATGTACATCTGTACATTAAAGTTTTCGTCTTCAATAATATTAATATTTTTTGTTTTATTTTTATTCTTTTTTGCACTTTTTTTTCTAATTAACTTTAGATTTTGTATTATTGGAATTGGCTTGCGTCAGTACTGGCGCTTTGGTCATTTTGCAAACGGTATCGTATAACGCTGGAAAGAATTGTATGACAAAGTACACTGAGGCGAGATATGCGCATATGAGTATGGTTAGGAAGAGATCGAAAATGGCAGGTTTGACGTGATATACATTTAGGCGCGCCTCTTGACCATCGTAGAACATAAAGTCTGGATCACGTGTGTCGGGTTTATCATACATGATCTTCACATTCTTTAGGTACTTTTCGAAAGCGTTCTTCAGGTCGTTATTATGTAGCGCAGATTTGACTTGCAGATAAGCTTTAATGAGTTTCTTATTGATACCCTGCAAGTAGAAAATTAGCATAAATAATTTACATAATTAACTATTAACTAATTGCACTCACCATTGGCCCAGCAAAGATTTCATATGGCTCTTGTAAGCCATACACGTAATGTGCTAGCGTTTCAGCTAAAATTTTAGCATGTTGTTGCGTTTGCGCAATAACTTGCTCTTCTTCGTCTTTGAATATAGTGGTGCGTGCTGGCTCTTTGGGTGATTTCAATGCGGATATCGTGAAAGCTGGCAAACGGCGCATGCTGAAACGTTCATGCTCCCAGGCGAGTTGCTGATCGGCCAAATTGATCTTCTTATGTACACCATCGACTGTAACATTGCCATATTGTGCCGCTACGTTTTTAAGTAACTTGAAGAAATCATTCATTGCGGTGCCCTCTTTGGGTGGTTTGGAGACGTGCATGTAAAGATTGCCAGATTCACCGTTCAACGATTGTGTAATCGTGTCTAAACAGAGCACAAAATCAACGTTCTGAAGTATAAAGGAAGTTGATTTTATAAATCATTGAGAAATATAAAAATAAATGTTTCACATATAAAGCATTATAACTAGCGAATAAATTATTACATATTAAATAGCCTAAAATTGAAGTATGTGCAGATTTCAAGCAATATACGCTAATTTGTTTGTTAAGTTAGCAATATTTTTAAAGCCTTTAACTTGTAGACGCTCTCAAACCTCGTCTATTATATTAGTTGGATTCTTGGCCGCAATTAAAGTGCCGGTAATAGACACGATGTCTTCCTTTGTTCCATAGCGCAGCGTTTTGCATATTTATTTTCAATGAACATAAAATTTTCTTCTTTAAAAAGAAATACAACAACTGTACCTGCAGTTGCACATTCTCATCGAGCCACTTTTTGGCTCCTTGGAAGTTCAACAGTGTACCGGATTCTGTGAGTAAGAATAATAAGCGATATTTAGGCACTGCGTTAGGTGTGCTGTGTAATTTGCTAAATATATCCGCGAGTGTTAGCAACACAGCGGCATCGGCGTTTAAAGGATATTCCTACACAGGGAAAAAAATTGTTTCGTTAATAAATTCCCAAGAATACAATTGGTTTCCTTACATTGTACAATCCGAATGTGTTGAGATGTGAGGTTATGAGGATTAATGGCAATTTGCTGTTGGACTCGCCACCACTTTCCATTTGTTTCAAAATTTTAGTAGTGGCCGCCAATTCACCTTGTATAATTGGTATTCTACTATTTTTGCTAGCTAAATGACTGGCACCAGAGACAATAACCTGATAACCATTGGCCGATATGGATGATAGCAGCTCTGTAGCCGCTGATGTGCGTTGAGTTTTGCCCTCAATATTTTTGCTGGTTGTTCTTGTGATGTCCGTTATGATACGCTCGAGCTCTGAATTATACGGTGAGAAATATATCGGAATTGAATTTGGTTGTGCCAGCATAGCTTGTTCAAGCAAAATGAGGTGCTAAAAGTTCATAGGAATATGATTGGATTAGTTTAAAAAAATATTGATTATAAATGCATGCTTTCGCGTTACCTCTTTTTCCTCAAATGTCATATCACTGACATGCTGTGGTAACAGTATAACCAAACCTCCTGCTTTTTGCCGTATTTCACGGAACTGATCGATAGTTAAGTCTTGTAATCTAGTAATAAACATATAAATTTTCAATATACATATTTGGAGTAAATAATATTTACTTTGCAACCACACAGTGCCTTCCAGTGCTCCAAGTATAGAGCGATTTAGCCTCTAGCGATAATGCAGATGCACGACATCCTGAAATAATAAATGAAATAGTATATACTATATTGAATATATGTTATATAAGTATAGAACAAATGTATTTTACAAATGTTAATTAATTTTTCTGTTTATTTACATCAATATTATTATCAATATACATTCTAACCTCAAAAGTAACGCATTTTTGTTTTGTATAGTACACAATTAATAAATGAACACACGGCAAATATACATGCACCAAACAACTATAAAGATAAGTTAACACACGATAATTAAAACCTTGAGAGCGCTAACATAACCTAATTGCAGCAACCAAAACAGGAGTTAATGATCAACTTGCACATAGTGACACATCACTTTAATATCAATGACAATATCGAGCACGACCACTCACCATAAGCAACACCATTCACATCGAACTGTGACATCCGTTGCACTGAGAATTCACTGGATGCCAATACAGGATTGGCTGAGCAAATGAGTAAAACTGGTAGTGCAATCAGTAGATAGGGCAGTCCACCGCGGAAAATATCCGCAAAATTCTCAGCTTCCTCAAACATTGTGACACTTATATGTGAGTATTGCGCGAAGCTGGGTTTAGTACACTGTATTATCCTACGATGCAACTTCTATGTCAAAGACAGGTGTTAATTAAATTAGATTAATTAAATTTAATTTGTTCTAATTAGGCAAACTTGCGCCCGGCTGATTTTTCTCATAACTAATTTTCACTTGGTAGGGTTGATTTTTTAAGTGCAGGTGCCCTTCTAATTTATTGTTATGTCTATATACACTACATGAAACATACATATTATTTCGCAAGATATGACTGATATTACTTAAACTTTTAAACGTTATAGTATGATAAACCAAATATATTTAGATAAAAAAAAAAATAGTACAAAAAATCAGAAAAGGTTTTTCATTGACATGTGAGTTATTTTTTGTGTAATCAACCCTGGTTTCTTGGTTTTTGTTGTTTATTTTGTTGAGCTGTCAATGTGTATTTAATGATGATGCCACTTTCAATACAATTCAAACTTTATTATCGATGCATATGTATTAACAAATTTATAACTGAAAATTTTTAAATAAATAACTTTTTCACGGTTGATTTGCTAGAAATCTATTAAAAAGTGTGTACGTACTTTACTGATATAGAGTAAGTCTATTAAAATATCTTTGATTACAAATTGATTAATTTGTGTCAGTTTAATATTTAATTTTGCCAATGTGATCTTACCGTGAGACTCTGCACTGTGATACAGTATCAAGTCTCTAAATTTGATAGAGACAATTTTTGAGACTTGAGACGATTTTGCTATTCTGTAAGTGACAGTCCCAAAATCTATTAAATTTAATAATTCAGGGATGCTTTTATACTTGAATGAAAATAAATATGTCGATAACAAATATTAAATTTCCTATAACATAGTCAAAAAAGTTAATTATCAATAAAAATAAAAATATATGTTGATTTTGTTTCATAATATTAACGAAATKTATGAAAAATTTATTTATTTTTAACTTTTGCGTGTTTGAGTTGCTTACAAAATATAAAAAAATGACAATCGATTAATATCTTTGATGATCTCTATTGAGTATATTCAAAATGGCAGATAAGAGCTCTTTTTGGTTTTGTGACTTGCTAACTACCAGGTCTCAAATTTGAGGCAATATTTTGAGGCTAAAGCTAGAGACTGTTTAGTGAATAGTAACTAGTCACAAATTGAGATTTTACCACAAAATGTCTAAAATAAAGATTAGAGACTGCTTACAGAATCCCGCTATTAATTAGAACATGTCTGAGTAACAATACAAAATCAAAATCTTATATAGTTAATTATGTTTTTCAACACTTGTGCCACCCTGTGTGTAAACATCAGCTTTTGCCGGCCAACAACCGTTAGCTGTCAGCAAATTGCATTAATTTCCGCTTTGCCTTTCCAAAAGTTTTGTATTTTATTATGTTGCAGTGGAATATTGTGAATTTTGTTAATAAAAATCGGTTAATTGGTGAAATTTATACATAAAACCATAAAGTGAATAATGTATTCAAGTAGCATAGTGTTATTTGTGGGCTTAGTTTATCTACTAGTGCAAAGCAAGCGAAAAATATGCAGGTGTGTGTTGTCGTTCGCAAAATATTATATTATGTATTTAAGTGATTAATTATTTAAAATTATAATTCATAATGTAATTTTATTGTACACTTCTCAGGTCTACACCAAAATCACCAGATTTATCTTCTTGAGAGAGGAAATTCAAGTGAGTTCTTTCATGAATATTGTATAGTAAAAAATATGATAAATATATAACATTTTTATCGATTGCCAATTCTGTCTTATAGGAGAATAGTGAATCAAGTTAAAATTTCGAACCTTTATTAACAGACGATTTTACGCATACAAAGTATGAATATGAATATTCATACCTTTACTACGCTATAGTTATGTAATAAGCCATTTTCTTCATATATTTTATAAAAATTATACATTGATCAGATTTAATTAAAAATTATATCGGCCAAACTTTATTCTCAACGGAAATTCCTACTAGCTAACGCTTAGCCAGGGTTGTTTAAGTGACTACCAGCAGCTTTTTGTATAGGGTAGGTGTGCCAGCGACCTCCCAGTGAACGGGAACTACTCACGTTTTTTGGTATTAAACTAAGAAAAACCGTTAAAACTGGCATACTGAGAAAAGCTGAGGAGCGGGCTAGCTCGTCAGAGAATTCGTTGCCAGCTATACCCCTGTGACCGGGCACCCAGATTAGGTGCATCTGGTTCTTTCCAGCTAGGTTGTTCCACCGTTCTCTGCACTCCCGCACCAATAGCGATTTGATCTCGAAGGAGGAGATCGCTTTTAGTGCCGCTTGACTATCGCTAAGTATAGCTATTCTCTCGTTGCGCTAGTTGCGGTGGAGGTTTATCTCTGTACACCGACTTATAGCCAAGAATTCAGCTTGAAAAATACTCGGAAAACTTCCCATCGGAATGGAGAGCTTGGTACGCGGACCTGTAATACCCGCACCTATTCCTTCTGACATTTTCGAGCCGTCGGTGTACCACCTCAATGTGCTATCCCTTAGCATTTGATAAAGAGTGTAGTCGTTCCACTCACTCTTGCTACCGAGGGTAACCTTAAACCTTTTCGTGAAGTGAGTTGTTCTGGTTATGCCGTCCTTTGGGAGGAGGGCAATAGGAATGTCGCCACTTATCCTCTCCATCCTCTGGGACGAGATTATCTTGCCTTTGCCGTATCCCTCTGCTGTTATCTGCAGAAGTGAGTGCTTGGCTACTTGACCTATAATTATATGGAGCGGTGTGAGTTCCAACAGGACCTCCAGAGCTGCCGTCGGACAGGTCCGCATAGCGCCCGTCATGCAAACACATGCTAGCCGCTGAAGCTTCGATAGTTGGGTTACCACCGAAGCCTGCGACGCTACAGAGGCCCAGGACACCGCCCCGTATGCAATTATCGGTCGCACAGTCATGGTGTACAACCACCTAATGATCTTTGGCTTACAGCCCCAATATTTACCCGCCAGCCGTTTGCACACCATTAATGCTTTTGTTGCTTTGACCAGCGTTTGGTTCACATGCTGCTTCCACCGCAGGGTAGAATCCAGCGTAAGACCCAGGTATTTAACCTTGCTAGTCATCTCGATCTCTCTGCTCCCAAGTGTGAGGTTCCTCAAGCCGGGTACGGACCTGCGCCTAGTGAAAGGGACTACGGTTGTCTTTGAGGGGTTGATGTTTAGTTACACTCCCCTGCACCACCCCTTTGCCAGATTTAGACCTCATTGCACTAGGTCACAGAGAGTATCCTCAAATTTCCCTCTTGCTATTATCACAATGTCGTCCGCATACCCTTGGCAGCGGATCCCATTGTAAGTTAGCACTGCTAACAGTTCGTCCACGACAAAGCTCCATAGCAGAGGTGATAGCACACCTCCCTGTGGACAGCCTCTTGTCGCACCCAGACGGATCTTCGGTTCACCTATCCATCTGCGCACCGGTGCTGCCACATTTCTTCTCTCCATCGCCCTGGCTACACTCTTGTGAGATGTGTTGTCGAAGGCACCTTCGATGTCTAAGAAGGCACATATCATCACCTCCCCTTTCTCCAGGGATCTCTCTATCTCCGAGGTCAACTGGTACAGAGTCGTACTGGTGGATCTTCCCGCTCTGTATGCATGCTGAGCAGCATGCAGGGGTGCACTCTTCAGCGCCGTCGACCTTATATTGTGGTCTATGATCTTTTCCATAGTCTTCAGTTGGAAGGAGGTTAGACTAATCGGCCTGTAGGATTTGGCCAAGGAATAGTCCTTCCTTCCTACTTTGGGTATGAAGATCACCTCATCCGTCCTCCATGGGTCAGGGATGTACGCCATTGCGAGGCTCTCCCTCAGCAGCCGAACAAGGTGAGATAGCAGAGGCTGTTCACCCTGCTGCAAAAGCGCTGGGAAGATGCCGTCCACCCCTGGAGACTTGAATTTTTCGAACGAGCCCATTGCCCACTTGATCGAGTCCGCAGTGACTAATTGCCTAGCGGTTACCCAATCCAAGCGGGATGGCTTGTGTTCTCTCACAGGAAAAAAAWAAATAAATCATTGACAGTGGTAGAAAAATTTCGCCTGATAACGCTATTTTACACAGGTACTACTGGAAGTCAAAGGGTTTTTTAAAATATTTCAAAGACGTCAAAGAATTTAATTACACTCGTTTTTTAACTGAGTTCATTTATTTCATTTATTATACTTTACATATTCCCATAGGAAAAAGTCTAAAGGTGTGCTTTCACACGCTCTTTGTGGTCAATCGACCGGTCCAAAAGGTGAAAATATCTGTTCACCGAAGTGTTCTCTCCATAAGTCTAATGATTGATGCGGAAAGTGACGCCATTTTGTATAAACCAAATGCCGATTCTATCGACCAACAAACCACACTTAACCGGTTTTTCTGGATGAATCACTTATTATCACTTGAATCTCTTCAGATTGCACTTCGTCCCAAATGTGGTAATTTTGCTTGTTTACATACCCGCTGTGCCAGAAATGGGCATCATCGCTGAACAAAATTTGGCCCGAAAACGTTGGATCTTCTTAGAACATTTCAATAGCCTATATAGCGAGCGATGTTGCTTGGGACGGACGAGCGACTTTAGTTCTTGTAAAAGCTTGTCACTTTTGTGAGCTTTCAATTTAAGATCTCGGCGTAAAATGCATCAAGTTGTTCCATACGTCAGTCCGAGTTGCTGCTAACGGCGCCGAATCTACCCTCTGCGGTATTCGTGTAAATCCTTGGGCAGTCCTACCAGCACCATAAAAATTAATGAAATCGGAGGGTAACCCTTTCCACTCCCCATATAACGGTACTATTAAAAACTACTAAAATTGTGATAAATCAATAAATAAATACGACAGAGAAATGAAATTTTACACCCCGATTAATAATGGGCGATGTAAAATCAGGGCGATTGGCATGGTATCGCTTAATTTTTGGTGAAATCACATCCTTAGGCATGCTTTCGTCCGACCATATTTTATAAAGAAGCTGATGCATGCTCCTTATCAGTTCTTTGCCGCCATGTTTGATTAGCTCGGCCGGCAATCCATCGGCCCCGGCCGCTTTGTTTTTATTTTTGTTTTTAACGGGTAATTGCTATTCGAACTTCTTCATGGCCAGGCAATCGATTGGGGAATCAATTTTCCTTTCTCCTGGCACTATACTTTCACTGCCATTCAGCAGATTGGAGAGGTGTTCCCCCCCATAATTTTAGTATGCTCTGGGCATCGGTTACTTGATCCCCGCGGGGGGTTCTACAAATGTATGCTCCGGTCTTGAAACCT